TGGTTTTGATATGGGTAAGATGATTATTGAATGTGGGGCACACCCAGTTTTTGTTTTATATGATTTGTAATACTTAAACAAACCCAGAGTTTTTGTTCTATATTGTTCTATAATAATCCAACTGCTGAATGTATTACAAATATTTCACTTAGTAAGTAATAGACATTATTGGTCAATTTGAAGCAATTTGAAACACATCACATAACTACATACATGATTTCCAAAATGATTAATGTGTTCTTCATTAGCATTAAATGTCTTTTTAACAATGTTCTTCAAATTCCCTTGTAGAAATTTTCACTTTCAATCTTGGTCAAGATTGAATGTTGCTGGTCAAGATTAAGTGTTGATTGAATGTTACCAAATTTAAAATGTCTTTTTATCAGTATTCTACTTGCAATCTCAATTACAATCTAATTTTTTGAACTTTCAATTTTTCTTATAACTATCCAACTTCACCTATGGACAAAGAGTCAATGTTATCAACTTTCAAAATTTGATTTAGCAAGGTTAAACTTGAAATATTGATCAAGATCAAATTATAACAACTTGAAGCAAGTTGACTTGAAAAAGAGATAAAATCTCACGATATCCAAACTGATCACCCAAAGACATCTGAAACTTGTTCTCTCTTTGTTGGTCTTTGGGTTAGTGTTCAACATGCATCTTCATCAGTGTGAATTTCTTTCACCTGTTTCCAATTTGAATCTTCACTAACATTAAATCTCTTTTAGCAATTTTCAACTTGATGATTAAGATCAAATTTTCACACTTGTTTGCCCTCTTCCTCATTCATTAATTTTAGAAGGGGGAAAACAATAAACCTCATTTTATTTAAAAACTCCTCTTGGAATTCAAATATAGCAAGACATTATTGTTTAAATTCAAATTCTCCTCTCAAATCAGCATGTTTCTGTCAGGAATCAGGATTCTTAACTTCTCAAAAATATATCAATGGCTGGGTGTGGACACCTTGGACTAGAGTAAATACCTTCTATGAGTTGTAGCCACTGGTCCATACCAGTAAACTTCCATTGAGCTGATTCTAGCTTCTGCAGAGTAGCCCACAGCTGAAATAAGTGGACCTCCACATCATCAACCTGAATCTCCTTTTGAATCTCATTCAATCATTGCTTTTACTTCCATCACAAAAAACAACCAGGCACTTCCAAGAGAAGAAGACATTAACTGTACAGTTCAGAGATACTTTTGAGTTTTGACCTGAGTCTCTTGAAGCCACTGATCAACTCACCTTCATCAATTTGATTTGTCAGCCCAGTAATTCCATCAGGTATCAACACCAGGAAGAGAATCACGTCTCAGGAGGGGCCTCAGCGATGCCATTCAGAACAGCCGTTGAGGAGCGTAGCCTCGGCCTCACTGATGTTGTTCAGAGCAGTTGTTGAGGAGTGCCCCCTCGGCCTCAGCGATGCCGATCTGAACGGTCATCGAGGAGACTGCACTCTCAACGATGGCCGTTCAGAACGGCCATCAAGCACAAGAGGGCTTGGGGCAGGTACCCTGTATGCCGGAGCGGTACCCGGTTACAGGCGAATCTCTGCCCACAAGCCACCGGTGTCACAAGCAGCACCGGGCATCTGGGATTCTGGTGTGCGAGTTCGGACGAGCTGATTATGTAATCCTCAGCCAGCGGGGCGAGGGACGGCGAGGGTCATCTCAGATGACCTTGTATAGCCTTCGTAATCGGTGTACGAGGGCTATTGAATAGCCAGTTGGCAGTCGACAGGGGTGGATGCTAACACCGAGGGATATCCTTATACTCGGATACCCACCACTCCCGGATATCTATCTGATCCCGGATGGCTGCATCCCTCCAACATACTTCAAGCAGCTGGAAACAAAAGAGCCTTGAAGCAAATCTGCCTACAATCACTTCAACATGTATCTAACTGGAGGACTTCCCGTCAGATCTGGGGCCCTCGCAGAAGTCGGTCTAGACCCAAAAATTCTTGATTCTCGCAGAGAAATTTGAATTTCGAGCCTCTAAACCGGCTCTGGGAGACCCGCAGATGTTGACGGGAAGTCATCCACTTAATTGATCCCCTTGATGACACTTACCGTAGATTTTCTGCAGGAAGTAGCTTGTTTTCTGTTGCCTGAATTCATTTCTGAAGTCAATGAAACTTCTTGATCTTGTCAACAACTCATGTCTCTCTGAAGTTTCTTCCTTTTTCTAATTTGGTCTGTTCATAAAAACTGATTGTTAAGAATTAACGACTCTTATACATTTGTGGTGGTATGTTTCTTTTCTCATGATTAATTTACTAGCTTGTCTAAAAGAGACTGAGAAGACTTGTCCGGCTATTTCTTCCATGAACTCATTCATTTCTTCCTCTCAGATTTTATTCAAAATCACTCTTTTATTC